CTATATAAATCTTTTACCGACATCTATTGATTTTTAACTCGCTGTTTTTTTACATTTTACTTTAATCTACTTTCCTTGCTTTTACCGGTTGTTTGGCGCAGATAGCCTAGCTGCTTTGCGCCATAAAACACCAACCAACCTATGTATAGAATATGCAAGTTTGTTTAATACCTTACAAGTGGGTTGCCTCATAAAGCGAGAGTTCAGAGAATATCCTAGCTCTAAGCTGCCACAAATCCATATACTGGAATATCTTCTTTCTACATTACTGTAGTTATCTTGATTCAAACTCATAAATATTTGAATGAGAATGAATATTTTGAGATTCTTTCCGTGATATCCATTGAGGTAATAATATAAAATGGTGTGTAATTAAGTTGTTTTATTTAGGTTGGAATATTTTAGCTTTACTTTTATAATTTTTCATGTTTTTAATATTACATTTAGATTTAATACTCATCTTTTCGTCACTTTTTAGTATTTATGAATTAAAAGATGAAATATTTTAGCATCCACCAGGTATTACATCTTTGCTATCTTATGAAATTAGATTTTTTTTTCATAAATGCTGTCATTGCTACATACTGCTGTAGATGATGCAGTGTTTGCACTGGTGACTGCTATTTGCACATTTTGTGCCAAATAAATATCTCTTGTCAAAAAATTTTTCTAGCAAAAACTTTTGGACATTTTTTTTAAAGATAAATTTAACCAATTCCTACTTGATATATCAGTATTGTTGAGGTGACTATACAGTTACCCTTTTTGTTTGTTTCTGAAATATCAGTAATCCCTCACTGATCTCATGTAAATGAAATAATAATAACATGTTTCATTCTCACTGATATTGATAATGATGTTTTCACTGAAAACATATCACAGTTGTGATAATAAATAATTAAGTAGCTAGATAACCATTTTATTTTTGTATGTTGTTTGAATATGATAAAGATAAAAATGATATTCAATGAATAAGGATATGAATCATTAGAATATTTTACTGTCATCTGCCTTATTCACTAAAGCTAACTAAGCTTATCTGATGGCTTCTCATCAAATAAAATTTCTGTAGCTTTCAAACAGATATAATTTAACATGCAAGCACTTTCACAAGCAAATGAAAGCCTAAAAAAACTACAAAAACTTCTTAGCTATTCCCATTGAATGGCTTTTATCAGTGCTACAGGAGTTCTGACTATGAGCACTTTCCCACAAACCAATAAACTACTATTCAAACCACTTTATTTACACTTTTGTGGCTTGAAATATCTAATTCTTGCTCTATATAGCCATGTTTAAATTTTCTTTTTGCTATTTCCAAAGTTGTATCATTAATAAATGATCAAATCACATGATGTGACATCATAAAAGGGTGACAACCAAAGTGTATGCAAAAACTAGGTAGGAACAGACATTGCGAATAGTTGAAAATCAAGAAGTGGATAATTTGTTTTCAATAGGTGATAGTTTCTTACCAAATTTAATGCTATTCTTTGAGGTGAGCTGAAATATTCGGAACAAATATGTACAGAAGAGACTGCTTGGAGCTGTGAAGAAATGTTAAAAATGACAACATGTTAATTGTTCATTTTTCCAAGTTAAAAATTGCTGAAATACACTTATAATTATTATCCTTACTTGAATCTTGAAATGTGATATGTGGATGTTCTCTCAATGCCTCAGAGTTGCTTACTACTCTATACATACTAAAGCAAGGCAACTCTTCAACATAGAAAATTTACTTTAATATTGACTTAAAAGATTTAAAGTGGCATAAAAACATGAAAAGCCAGAGGAAACCCTGCAGATTAAATACGATTATTCCTGCTATGAAGTAGCTTAACGGATTATTTACATATTCATTATACATAAGAAAATAGTATCAAGATATATGTTTTTATCATTATCTCATAATTTTTGATTTGTGTAAAAGAGGAAGAGTGTTCAAACATTTTTAAATTTTGTTTGCTTCCCAACAGGAAAATGTTTTCTAGAATTTGCTGAAGATCTAAAACAAACTTATGGCCAATACTGCAGAAATCATGATGATGTGTTAGTGTTAATAGAAAAGGTATGTGTATTATAACTCATGGTATCATCAGGGGTGAACCCAGGAGTTTCAGTTCGGGGGTGGGGACAATTTTAAAATAAATTGCTCACCATAGACATACCTTTGTCTCAAAAATTTTGCACACAAAAATACTAATTTACAAACTTTTCTGATATGTTTAGTATTTGAATTCTTATCTTTGTATAATTGTAAGTTTGGTTTGGGTAGTGTGTAACTCTGTATTCAGTTTACCAGTTTTAGGTAATTTCTAAGTAAGTATTCTAATCACTCGATAATTAACAAAACAGTTTTAGAAAGATTTTTGTTACTGGTTTTGAAGAACCAGAAATCATTTAAGTAAAAAAAGAAAATGATTTGATGTCTGTGTGATCTATGTAACCATTTTCAGTCTGATCTTTAATATTACTTAAGATTTTGTACGTCATGTAAATATCTGCAAGTATGACTTGGAATTCAGTTCTAATATATTTATGCTCATCTTAAGAAATTTCATTTGTATATATATATTAAATACTAGCAGAGAGCCACAAAACTTTTGAGATCTAGAATAATAGAAAATAATTCTAATTGTAGACACTGAAACCTACAAGTTCACGTGTCTTAGGCCTATCATTAATTAAGTTTTATTAAGTATGGCCTATATTTGATAAAGGAATAACACTGTAACTTGTGTAGTTTTTCACTCTAATTTAGTTAGGGCTAAACTTTACCATACTTAATACTATCAACAAATATACTTATGATGTTATACTACAACCTAACATTAGACTATTTTAAAAACTTTGATATGATTGTATTATGTTGTTGTACAAAATGTCTGCTAAAGTATGTTTACATCTGTCTTTTGTTTACATCCATTGAAATGAAGTGTGTGCACATGAACATTTAGATTGTAAGATATGTGCATTTTCAAGACAGCCAACAACTGTGTATTATTATAATAGATGTTATTGAATAGGTAATAATTTATAAAATATGGATACATAATTAATATTTGACTATGATAATATAATACTCTATAAATTATTTCAAAATGTCTAGGACTACCTTCTTGTTTCAGTTTGTTTTGATCATAGTATAGAATCATATAATTTCTAATTGTAGTATTTTAACATAATAATGCCATATTTAGAACTGACAAGTTTTTGTAGCACTGTGCTTTGTTAATTCTATATATAATTTTATCTCTAAGATCATTCAGTTTTCTGCTTATGATTTGTTAATACAAAATTAGATTTTTATCATTTAGTAACGTTTTTGAAAGTATACATATTATTTCTAATTAATAGTATGAAGATAACCAAATGATCAAGATCTATATAAATCAAGGCGTGATGCAGATGCGAGCAAAGACCAATTGTTTTGATTTATCTTCAGTCTTGATTAAGCCCGTCCAGAGGATTTTAAAATATCCACTTTTGCTGGATGAATTGATTAAGGTAAACATATTCAGATTCTTTCCATATTTAGTGATATGTAGTGTGTTTCATCACATTTTAATACCTTTGGTATATGTTTTTATCTAGTGTGAGAAATATTTTGTTTGTCAAAATAACCTTTTAGGAAAAACAGTGAGTTATGAGAACACATAATTTTGTTTTCGTAGTGCTCAGTTACAGTGTGGATAAGTAATTTTTCTGTAGGTGTGCATGTGTTAAAGCAAAATAATGTTATCGATAACAAAACCTTTGATAAGTTCATATTAAAAATATGTCCTTGTATTTCTCTTATGTATGTATCATATAATTAAGGAAGTTTTTACCAGTCAAGAGTTGTTTGGATTTGTCAGTTTGTACATACATTGACACATTGCATGACAACATTCTATCTCAGCATTAGAAGAAGATTAAAAAGACTGGTATTTTTTTCTTTACAACATTATTTATTTAAACATCAAAAACAAGAAAAAAAAAGAACAGTTGTCTCATCTTTCAGCCACACAAAATATTTTTAACTAGTTGGATTTAATTGAATTCACCTAAGACTGAGTGATTGTTTAGAAAAACACCCGGATTACTTTTTGAGGTACAATAAAAATTAAAATGTCAAAGAATCGTTAACTTAACTCATCAAGTATATATTGATGGTAGTGATTTTTTTTTATCCCCCTAATCTAAAAGGTTTGGGGGATATAGTGATGACACTGTACACTCATTTATAGACTTCTACTTTCTGCATTGTAACAAATGTTAAACAGCAGATTTTAATCATATAGGTCACTTTCCTCAGGGATGGGGAAGTAGCCTATTGATATTTGGGTGAAAGAGTCAAGGTCATCACCTCAAGAAGTAGAAATTTGGTTTTTCCACAGTAATTAAAGTTTTAAACAGTAGATTTCACAGGTCATTTCATTGGAGGCTGGGAAAACAAATATTATACATTTTGAAGTTAAAGGGTCAAAGGTCAGTGTCACCATTTCAGAAAATTGAAATGTGGTTTCTATACAAAAGAAAGCATATTCGCAGAATACATATGCTTAAAAAACACATCAAAACTAAAGGAATTGGCCATTCTACTTGTAGCTATATTTCACCTGCTTGAAGTAGTAAACATTAACTGATTACTTTACTTCTGACAGATTATTTTAAATCATAAATAAATTCCTCTGATTATGGTTTTTTTTTATTTTTCTACTTAACTGTTGGAGAGTGTAGACCAGATTAACTCTTTCAGCACTGGCTCGGCCCCTGGGACAGACCTCGTGCTATAACTTTTAAATTAGTAAGCAAATGTTAACGAAATTTGGCAGATTATCAGTAAACATTACAATGCTTTCATATGTAAAAATATCAAATTTTTTTATCAAGTCTTAAGGTTTGTAAAGCAATGTTTTTCTCATGTCCTTTTTTTTTCTTGTCACATGTTGCCTATCTATCATGCAAAGTAATATTCATTTTAAGTACTTTTATGCATCAGAAAATTTTGAAATTTCAAATGCAAAATATTTATAATGTCCAGATAGTAATCAAACATTTCTTAAGAAAAAATTTATACCTTATCTGTTATTTTCAGTACTTAATCTCTGTACGGGTTCGGTAGATTTGACCGATCTCGCAACCACCATAAAAAATTAGTAAATGAATATAGATTATGCCTCTTTCATTCTATAATGAACACAAAGTATAACACAAAAACATAAATGTTTAGACTAATTAGCTTAAATCTCATAACATTAAACATTTATATATATTTATTATTTTTGTTATAATGTCCTTTCAGCCGTGCTTGGCTAACAATACAGAAGTTACAATGGTGCGGCTCACATGCACTCTTGCCGTATCAAATAACATAAAACTGACCTTTGGTCTGTATAAAGTGACCTGTCTTGGCTGTGTTTTAGTAGACTAGTATTTTGTAAAATGCAG